ATTAATCGCCGGCGATATCGCAGGACTCGCTGTCGGCGTGCTCGCGGCGTAAACACTCATTACCGGCGTCTGGCTTGCGTAGGGGGCGGAAAACCTCCCCCCCTTGTGTCGCCGTCGCCGCCACCACCACCGCCGCCGTCGTAGTCGCCACCCGTCGCCCTCCACTCTCACTCACGTCTCACCGCCGCCACTACTTCGGAATCCCCTCGACCCTCACGAACGTCGCCGCCGTTTAGGGTGGATACGAGCGCGCGCTACAGACATATCACACACCCCGCATCACGTCGTACGCGCGCTCGCCGTAAAACTAATCACGGCGGCTGCTGAATGGTCACAATCCAACACATACGCATACATATACTGGCATATACTTATATACACGCGCACATACACATACACATACACACACAATGGATTCTGCAAAAAGAAGGGGGAAGAGTAGCAGTAAAAAGAGTATCAGCGAGAGGACGCTGATATGATCATGTGTGAGAGAATCGCTGAGTTTGAGACTTGAATAAGATCCAAGATAAAAAATTCAATATATTAGAGTTGCATATATTTCTTCTTAATTCATCATATTGTTCTCTTTTACGAAGAAAAGAAAAGCTACAACCGATATGACGGATTAATTGTAACCGATGATAGCTAAAACTCCAGAGCAATCGGGAAGTACAATACTTCGTTTTCTTGCTCTTCGGTTAACTTCACTCGTCTACTTGCGATCTGTCTTTTTTTTTATATTTGTTTCTCTCGTCTGCATTTCCCGGGAGTGAACGATATAGTGATCATCGGCGGACTTTATCGGGACCGTGCTGATTTTTATCACGACCGTGTGTCAAAGTCAAGGACTCGCACGTTCGTATGGTCGAGCTTGCTTCGCAGAAATATTTATGAGCATTATGGAGCACACACACAAAATGCATGATCTGTGCGATATGCGCGATTCGCTTCCACTCATTCTATACTGGCACAATCTCTTTTATTCTTTCTTCTCTCTCTCTCTCTCTCTCTCTCTTTCTCTCTGTCTTTATCTTCCTCGATTTTAGTAGAGGTTAGTCGTGTAGTTCGTTCCGTTTCGTTGTCAATTTCCGTTCAATGGGACGGCACCCTAATGGCTTCTGCACACAGAACGCAGCAATGCTTGCCGCGTGGCGGAGTTATCGCACTAACCAATAATTCCATGTTCTTAAGTCGGCCTCACCACGCAAAACTTCTAGAAATGATGTAAATTACTTCCGCCGCGCGGCAAAAGTTGGATTGAGTTCAACTTTTATCGCGCAGTGGAAATTATATATTTATTACTTCCGAGACGTTGATTCGGCTCTCGCACACAGAACGCGGCAACGCTTGCGCAACTTTCATAAGTAATGAACCAATCGGAAGGCTGCATTAGCGTCTTAGGCTATGTTCCAAAACTTCCTCTCGAGGAAAATTTACGAAATATATAGTACACGTATATTATAGAATATAGAGTAAAATCTTGCTCGGAGAGGAAGTTTTGGAACGTAGCTCTAAATCTACAATAGGTGTTTTAAGGCTGTTGCACATAAAATTTCTGTAACAGTAATCTAAAAACGTGAATTTAAGCCAATCAGGATACTGCTTCAGATCTACTCTAACGGAAATAAAAATACAAGAAATTCATCCATAAGGCGAGTTTCAACCAGTTGAAATTCACTTTATTGCGAGGTTATGGATAAGTATACTTGTTATTTCCATTTCCGTTACATTACATAATCTAAAGTAATATCCTGATTGATTCATTCGGCTTAAGTTTATGTCTTCTACTGTTATCCGTTAATTAATATTGGCCCAATATTGGGGATCAATCTGACACTCATTGGTCTAGTTTCCACCGAGAGTTTAATCCGCGGATCAGAATATAAAAACCAACCAACTACAGTCAAGTATTCCCCTGTTACAGTCGAACGACAGAGGAATGCTCGACTGTAGTTGGTTGGTTCGTACATTCCGGATTAAACCCTCGGTGGAAATTAGGCCATTGATACGAAATAAAATTCTGCTTTCTGATTGGTTGCAGAACGTCGGATTCAGTGTGAATTCAGTAATAGTGTGAATCCAATTCAAGTTCAACACGCTGGGCACAGTATAAGTACATATGTGCGCTGCATTCATTCAGACCGAACAGTTCCTACTATTCATTTACGTTCCAAACTTCCTCTCCGAGAAAGATTTTACTCTATGTGCTATAATATACGTTACGTATATTATATATTTCGAATAAAATTTTCCTCGGAGAGGAAGTTTTAGAAAGAAGCCCTGAGAGACAAAACGAACAATGCTATTGCTTGCAAAATGGGTCGCGTACTAATTGGTTCAAAAATTGAACGAGTGCGCATCATCGGAAATGCTACATCTTGCTTTTTACGCTATGATTACGTTCATAGGTTTGTTCGCGTTGCATGTTCTGACATGCTCTAAAATGCTCCTACTATGCTTTTATTAACTCTAACGCGTTCGTTGAAGTGAGTAGAAGTTATAACAGGAGCACATTGGAACATGTTGGAGTATGCGACGCGAACAAACCTTGTGTTCAGACTTCTTTGCATTCTTTGGGCTTCTCCCATGATGCATCATGGGCTTTTCTCTCTCTATCCCGATTAGATTAGAATGAATTAGATATAATTTGATAAGGTTAAACATTAATAAGAAGAGGAAGAAAGATGAAAAGTGCAAGATATTCAACTATAATTACTACAAGGAATAAGTCACGGTCTTTCTTTATAGAACTTATAGTGGTGGATCTGTAATATAATCAGAGTGGAGTGATTATTGAAAATAGAGAGAAATCCGAAATGATCGAATCTTGCACGAAGAAGCGAATGTTGTTAGGTATCACATTTTTAGGAGGGTTAGTTTCTCATATTTTTCGAATTAAATGTATGTTCGGAAACCATTCGGAGTAGCTCCAGAGTAATGTATCATTTTATTGTCAACATTCGAATAATAGAGATAAAATACACGGAGGTACTCAAGTGATGTTTCGAACATAGCCTAAACACCAAACTGCTATAGATGCAGGCTTTGTTAAACAAAACATTTATGAAGAAACTTAATTTCTTGTATAATACATTCTTTACAGATTAACAGTTTTAGCGCTAATTATCGAGAGCCATTGGACAAATAGCTCAAGTAAACTTTATGTTGATAATTATGAGAATAATTCCTCCTGTATCTCTGGCGAGGAGTATGAAGTGATATCCGAATGTCATCCATGCACTGCCTTTGAAATTGCTAGTGAAAGCATTGACGTTTGTATCCATGCAAGATATAAAGAAGTGCTGAAATGTAAGAGCGGTGAAACAATAACAAGAAGGTAAAGCACACTGACAGAGGATTGATTATGTATCTTGAAATAAGGTGAAAATTAGAAAAATAAAATTAGAAAGTTAGTGAATTTATTAAAATATTTATTAATTGGTCAACCCTTAGTGAATTTGCTCACTTTTGTAATTCTTGCCTTGTTTCAAAACGCACAATCGACCACCAGGATTTGATATATTTACTTGATTTTATACTACATTCTCATATTTGTATTATAGTTGTGACAAAGTAGCTTGGCTAGAGGAAAAAACATTCTGGAAGTTCGAGGGTTTCATGTTTGCTACAGCAATCTTCTCTTGCTTAGCTGTATATTGGAGAGAGAATATATTAAGACAGAGAATAATCAGAAAAGTAGCGAGACAATTACGAATTAGCGCATGAATGCTATAAGTTGAGAAAAATAGATAGAAAAGTTTTATATTTATATATTTTTCACTTGTTCAAGAAAAAGACAAAGAAAAAGAAATGGAAGATAAAATTGAGAATAAAATGGAGAAAAAAATGGGGAGTGAAATATATTTAGCTATATATTCTATGGCAGATTTGTGTCTTGTTCCAGTAGAAACTCTAGTAACTTTTTTTACTATAAAATACTGTGACTCTCCAATTAGTATTAAGCTAGTACCAAGTAAACAGGATTTAACTGAACAAGCTTACACGATAGATCTCACAGATTTTGTTTATGAGATTGTAAATGAAATGCCTTATTATGCAAGCTCGTTTGAATTACCAATTGTCATTGTGAATGAAGACAGCTGCATGGCTGGTTTGTGTACAGTATTAAGACATATTGTAAAAAATATGAATCCAAGTTTACTAAACGACAAAACTATGTTATTAGGCTTTAAAGATTCCTGCTTGATGGCTTGTTCGGAGGCAAGTGTGTGGACTAAATTTTGCGAGGTCGATTTAATTTCAACTCTGAAATCTTTAAATACAAAAGTTTTGGAGAACTCTGAATTGCCTGTTAATTTAGCCAGATTTGAATATCACATGTCTCAACCGCTTAGAGTGCACAATTTATATAAGTATATTGCAAGCAAAAAGTTTGATACCGTTGATATAACTGAATGTGATAAGACAGGTATGCCGATACATAAGTATGCTGATAGCGGATATATTACATTAGCTGACTTAATTATCTTTGTGTGTATGCATATTCTACTGAATATATTTCCAAGCCAGATATCAAAGCTAATACCCTTAACAATCCAGTGGTATGACAGAATGTTGGATGATTTTCGTATACGAAGATGCACAAAATATTTACCTTCACAGAGCCATAATTCAAATGTACAGTATACTCTTCCAGTTGTAGTAAATGAAAGCTTATACAAGAGCGATTATAAACGATACAAACCAAAAAACCGCATTTTCACAAGGCAAGAGGATATAGAACGTTCGTTGCAGTTGATCGAAGACATGAATATTTCAATGCAACTTGATGTTGAACCATTTGGTATAGAAGTAAATTTAAACTGGTCTGATATCCCTTTTGAGGCTACACCAGCAGGCGGGTCATTGCCAGCTGCAAGATTACGACGGAAACAAGATCAACTACAGAATCTGTGCAAACCCGTTTTGAAGTTGGCGAAAGCAGGGGATATTATTGTAGATTTCTGTTCAGGTACTGGTCATTTGGGAATATTGATAGCATATTTGCTACCTCGTTGCACAGTTATTCTGTTAGAAAATAAAGAGGAGTCTTTGAATCGAGCCAAGAAGAGGGTGGAAAGAATGAAGTTAACGAACGTAAAGTTTTGCCAGTGTAACCTGAATTATTTCAAGGGAGATTTCGATATTGGTACATCATTACATGCTTGTGGCTTATCAACGGATTTGGTAATTCAATGTTGCATACGAAAGAATGCGATTTTCGTGAGTTGCCCTTGCTGTTATGGCTCGCTGCAGAATTGTCATCAGCTAACGTACCCGCGAAGTGATGTTTTTAAGGAGCATGTTAATAATAAAGAATACTCATACCTCAGTCATGCAGCGGATCAAACGCATGACGAATTAAATATTAAGACTAAACAAGGCTACAAATGTATGACAATTGTAGATACGGATAGAAAGCTGTTTGCCGAACAATTTGGGTACAAAGTTTATTTCGCTAAATTAATTCCAGAAACGAGTTCACTTAAGAATCACTTGTTAGTTGGTATACCAAAAGATAGGCTAACACATGATTTATGTGACAATTAAATATGTTCGCTAAATGATTCTTATAAGTAAATAGTAATTAAATGTGTCCACATTGTAGGACTTTTGTAAATAAATAGCATTCACGTTTAGAACATTAATTATGCTAGCAATTTTCTTACATCAATATGCAAACATTTTTTATTAATTTTTTGAATGATAAGGAGTCTCTTTTATTATAATATTGAATTATATATATAAAAGTTTTATCAATATTTTTAATTATAATATCAAGACTATTATATACAAGATATTTATTTTATATGTAATGTATGTTTATAATTAATTTTCAAATTAATAAAAATTGATTAAAGGGGAAATTTTTTATTTTCATTTATATTATATTATGAGAGATTTTTTGCTATTATAACAAAATATATTTTTATATTATACATTATAGGATTCATTATAAATGTTCATTATATTAATTCCGATATCCTGTATATGTAAATCTTCTTCATTCTGACTGCATATGTTAATACAATAGACTTTTTATTCTTAACATATACATACATGGTCAACAAAAAACTAATAAATAAGCACATATTTATTTTATCTTTCCTTAATAAGTATGTTATTTCATTTTTTCTCTCAATATTTTGAATGTTATCTGCGAATCATATACAAATCGCGTGCTGCAATATTTGCAATGTTATTACATATTTGCAGTTGTTATAATATTGCTGAAACTTATGTTGTATAGGCTGACATTAAAATATGCTGACACAAAAATATAGTCTGCTAATATTACTAAATGTTGATTTTCTAAATTTTAATAATAATTTTAATAATAATAGTTTTAATTTTAATAATAATTTTAATAATAATATTAGTTATATTTTATAATATTTACTGAATATTTAGAAAAATAAAATTATAGTACTGAAAGACAGTAATTAATTATTTATTTTAAATATTAAAATACTATTGTTCAGTACTTTTAGTACTCCAAATAAGTAATTAATTTTTTTTCAATAATATATTGACTAATATTATTTAATTTCTGTAAAAAGCCGGAAACAATGAAAAGCATAAACAATAGGAATAAGAAAGAACAAATTTCAACCTATCAGAAACTATGTATACTAGAATGGACGCTTTCTGATAGGTTAAAATCTCTTATTCCCTACTCCTATTAAGTTAAGCTAGAGATAGTGTAACTCTAGGGTCTCTAATTCTACCCGTATTAAGTACATGATGTAAACTAGGCCAAAGTCACAGAAAGCACATGTTATTGTAATCACAGAGAAAAATATCCTAGGCCTGTTTTCTCCTCCGAGTTGGTAGGCCTGTTTTCTCCTCCGAGTTTTCTCCTCTTTCATTCTGCCACCAAGCCACACAGCCCTGACGCTGTTGGTATCTCTGTTGTGTCTAAATCTAGTAAATTTCTTACATTATAAACGAAGACGCACGTGGTTTAGGAAATTCTTTTCATTTACAACAATTATTTCGTTAATGCGATGTCATTTTTTATAAGAAGTGGGAATCGAGGAAATGGTGTACAGAAGCGTAAAGTAAGCTTTTCGTTTTATTATATTTTTTTTCCAAAATGTGTTGTGTTCTCTAATTCTCTATTTAGAGGTTAAAGCCTATTCTACAATATACTTTTTGTTCCCTGTTTTTTTTACTATTTTTTAATTTTGCCTTTATGCTTCTTATCCCGTTTTTGTTTTCTGTCGTCCAAGATAAAAGTTAACAAATTTCGGAAGAAACACATGACAAGAAATACATTGTTAATAAAACGGTTGAAAAGAGGGAAAAAAATACGAAGTAAAAAGCAAGAAAGAAGAAACAAAAAATACATTGTAGAATAGGCTTAAAATTCAGTTTGTTTAGAATAATACGATTATTTTGATTTCCCCTGATTCTTGTTAAACGTTTGCATATTGTATTGATTATTTACTTAAAAAATTGTTAGAAGTTACAAGATAATAAACATATCAACCATATCATTAATGATATAGTTACGTGAAATCTATTACTTCTAGGCCTGCATTCCGTTTCACGCATGAAGCGCACGATGTATCATTTATCTTTGTTATTCATCAAATATTAAACAAGGATAAATGATTATTATGCATTATGCACATCATTCATGAAACGGAATGTACTTTAAATCATTTTCGTCGACAGTGAATTGGTGATTTATAAAGACACCGATATTTATGTTTATTTATTGCATTTCATGATATTGCATTCCCCATATCCGGGAAAGGGAGGGGTTTCAACCTTTCCCTGAAATTTTTTATTGATTATTTCATTTTGAGAAGGTCTCGTTAGTACACATTCTGATAGCATACATCCACTCACATCGATGCCTAATAATTTTTCACTGCTTTATTAATGAAAACATCTTATTTTGAAGTGGCCAATTAGTGACTCTATCGAAATTTCTCTTTTATTTTTAATTGTAAAAACATACAATTTTATTTTTGACTTTGTGTAAGTTTTCTGCTGTTACATAAAATTTTTTTGTTATAAGTAATTTTAATACTTCTATTAGTTCGAGCATACAATAATAATATTAAAAAATTGAACATTTTCTTCCATCTTGTAGTAGCTGTATTATCTTTCTTTAAAAAAAAGTCTTTAAAAAAATAAGTAAAAGTTACATGATGTACAAAACGTAACTTTTTTCGTCTTTAAAATGAGGAGATATTAAAAGTTGTAAATATATCCAAATGGATTTCATTAATGTTAAAAATTGTAAATTATAATAAAATTGATACAATAATGTTCTTTTCAGTACAATAGCAAAATCCTTTTTTTTTTGGTTGTCATTCCGGTACATGATACATCCTTGAGTTAATAGAAAATCCCCTCCGAAGAAAATTTCACGATACGCCCATGTTGCTCTTCTAAAATTAAGGCAATTGATATATCAAACTGTGATTAGGCTGCGTGGAATCTTGAGACATAAACCGTCGAAGAGATAACACATTTTGATGGACATGAGATGGTCATTGTGTATGGGAGTAAAATTAAAGATGTCACTGAAATACCTATCTCTTGATCTATCTCTTGATTATTGTAACTTAGATTCTAATATAAAGCAATATGTTATTCATAATTTTTTTCTTATGTATAATTTAATGTATCGATGTGACTGTTAACTTTAATTTTCTAATTTAATTTCTAATTTTATTATATTAGCTCAATGGCCACTTTAATAAGAAATCTACAGCTCAGTCAAAATTAA